TAGGATTGCACTGGTTTGTAATGAGCCTAAGAACATTGCCCTGGGACGAACCCCACTGAATAAAATGGAACTTATTTCCAGTCAGCTTGCTCAGAATTGCTCTCTTAGACAGTAATCTTCCGTTCTTGAATGTCTACACATACCCTAATGCTACAAGCATGCACCTGGTTTCTGATACCTTCCAGTGCAATAAATGCTATTGTGTCTGAATGAAATCTTTGTAGCGGCTTTCCAGAATTCTCTTTATTTGTGTTTTGTGTGTGTGTTTATAGTTCGTATTTCAAATGCTAATTAATAATTAGTGACCTTATCTTCAGGGCTTTTTCTTTTACTGACAATGATTAATCTTTTTCAAATTAAGGAATACTAGTTCATTATTTCCAAAAAGTGTTTCTCTATGAACTTCTTTTAGAAAGGACAGAATAACAGCCTATTCAAATGCAACCTATCATTCATACTGAGAATACATGGGTGGAGGCTTGGGAGAATTTGGGAGATTATGATTCTGAGTTTAGCACAATAATGAATTAACTTTCTATTATTGCCTAGTCTCAATTCAGCTTCTATCAGGAGAGTTTCAGATCTTCCCATCTTCAGTTCTTATTACAACTTGTATCATGAGAATGAGTTATCCTAGACTTTAATTTGCCTATTACAGGTTTCTCTTTTCATTATACATTTCCTACTGATAGTACCAAACGTTAACAGCAGAAATTGGCATTTCACTCATTCATTGTCATGATAAAGACTCGAGATGAAAATAGCCAAACATAAATCAAGTCTTGAGAAGGCACTCTGAAAATTTCAACATTAATAGAAAATGCCCCGCTTATTACCCTTTATAGTGAAGACAGTAAAAAGGGCAGAAACACAACTCATTCTCATACTAACTCATATACTGTGCCTGACTGAACAATGAATAAATTAGAGCTTGCTCCATAACACTTTTCATGTTCTTTGATTCCAATTATTTTTGCGCAGGATCTAAAGTAACGGGATGCAAAGAAAGGAAAAGCTCA